GGGCTTGCTTTTGAGCCACCAGGCTGTGTCAGTTAGCCAAGAACCCAGGACACCTGAACTTAGACATGGAACAGAGCCGAACAGATTTCTGCATCTCAGATGTTATCAGACCTGTATATAGTAAAAGAAGAAACCACTTCCCCTTTGTAGTGGGCTGTATCATGTATGTGTCCTTGTGAAATACTTCCCCATCCTCCCTCACATGAACTCTAGCATAGCCTCTATGGCTACTCAGCCAGGTGTGTGTGTGTGTGTGTGTGTGTGTGTGTGTGTGTGTGTGTTTGTGTATGTGTGTGTGTTGGGGGAGGGGGAGTCACCATAGTGACCAAAGAAGCCTGATGCAGTTAGAGGGAGACAGAAGACAGAAACAGCAGGAAGAGTGTTACGAGCCTAGTATATTGCTGCAAGCCTTTCTTTTTAGAAAAGGCTTCCTTTGAGTGGGAGAAAAACAGAGGCGAGTAAAGAGAACTGTTGGGTTGTTGAAGAGCCAATAGCATTCTTGACTTCCTGTCAAATGTCTTTTCTGTGACTTTCAGGTGATCGTCAGTTTAACCATCCGATCTTAAGCAGTGCTACCCAGACCCCTACGCACGGTGAGAGCTAATTGAGCATGCCCTGCATTCCACCTGCATGCCAAGTGGCTCCATTCTAAGGATAGGAGAAGGCGGTGGAGCCATGCCCCTGCCCTTCTCCAGGCCCCACAGCTTCCCTCTTCCTTTGAGACCATTGTCCCCTGGGTGTATTTGTCTTTGACATCAGAGTGGTTTTCCTGACATAAAGAGAAGGGAGACCCTTTCCCAATCCATTTAATTTGCACTCTCCATCATTCCTTGGGTTCACAGATTCCATCTGTTTGTAGCAAGCAGACTAATGTTCTCCTTTGCCCAGAGCCATTCTGAATCATTTGCAAATGAAACAAGACTTGGTCAAGCTTTATTCTCTGGACAGAGAAGAAGTTGACAGTTGTCCATCAGAGGAGTGTTAGCAAAGGAACTGTGTGTGTAGCAGGGCCACCTTGCTCTGTCAGGTTCTAATGTCCTCCCAGAAGACCACATCTCAACATCTGGAAACCTAGATAAAAACTATTTGGAGTCTCTCTCAAAACTCAGTAGAACATTGGATAGCCATGTAAACTCTAACCTGTCCATCATTTTTGTCTCTTCACTAAAAGTTTAATAATTGAATAATAATAACCAATAGATGTTTCCCAAGAGACACACTCAACACAAATATAAACCTGAAGTCATGTCTGACAGTGTACAGACTTAGACCTACAATCTCATATACTAAGGAAAATGACCCAGGAGGATTACAAACTCAAGACCTATTTGGGGTAGAGTTAGTTCAAGGCCAACCTGGAAAACTCAGTGAGCTAGTGTCTCAAAACAAAAACAAAAACTAAGGGTACAGGTCAGTGATAGCACATTTGCCTCACATGCACAAGACCAGTATTTACCCCCCCCCCCCATATTTCAAGAGAAAAATAAGATAAATGGAGCAACTCACCTGGCAATGGGATTACCACTCTCAAGCCACATTGCACAGCACCTTAGCACAGAAGTGGAGCACATCTGGATGAGGAAGAGGGAATGAGGTGTTTCGACATACCCTTCCAGTGCTTTGGGACTCCTGTCATGAGAGCAGGACCGTAATTGGATGTTTCTGGGTGTAAAATCTAAGAAAACAAAGAACTGAGAAATTGTAGGGATTAGTTAAAGAGGGTGATGATGCCAGTTGTAACGCTGATGGTGGGGACAATAAGGAAGACGGAGAGCTGGAACATCCTGAAGGAAAAATTAAGAATATGTAGTCACTCAAAATTTATACCTTGATGAGAACCAATAAAGACTGGAATGGAGATCTAAGAGTATTTGGAAGAGTGGAGGCTTGGCTGTGGATACTATCCAAGGAATAAGAAAAACAGTCAGCGGGCAGGAATGGAATTGGTGATAGTAAATTTGAATCTGAACTTACAGAATTTGCTGTGATTGTAGAAGATACAAGAAAAACATCCCATAGGTAGCTTAAAGTTGGAGCTAAGAAGTTCTTAGTAATCATTAAGAAAGTAACAGAAGACTTGAAAGTAGGGGATAACCATGCAAGAATTCTGAAAAAGGAAAACAGAAGGCAGCGTATTAGCTGGGGAATGCTGTCGTGATTAGGAAGTGGGAAGAGAAGCCAGAAAAGGCAGGCAAGGAAGGCCCCCACTTGTTCAGTGATATTCTGGAATGAACCACCACTGAGCTGAGCCTCCTCAGGAAGAGCCAGTACAAGCATAGACTCTTGAGTACAAACAGAAGGGCTGTTCCCTACTCCACCTCTTCCTGTCTTCTCTCTCTCTTCCAGCTGGTATAAGGAATTGGGATAGAGAGGCTCCAGTTCCTGTCCTTAGGCAGCTTGCGACACAGTTGAAGTAGAGCTTGCCTACATTCCTTTCTTTGGTGGTACCCTTTCCTGTCAAGGAATGAGTAGAACAATTAGGAGAGCAGGGAGGGCCTACATCTGTGCAATCAACCAAAAGGCACTAACTAGGTCCTCATTTTGGGCCACGTAACATGAGAGAGACAGGAAAAAATTAGAAAGCAGGCCTACCGGTGCAAAGGTCTCTAAGGTCACTTGAGATGAACAAGACCAAGTCATGTCAAATCATTAAAGACCAGTGAGACACGAAGCGGAGGGTAACCAACTGAAGGGAGATGGTATATGGGAGAGCAGGTATCATTGAGGAATGGCAAAACAGAACGAGGTCACAGTCACCAGCCTTTAGTTAAGGGAAAATGTGATAGAGAACAAATAAAGCATCTCAATAGAAGACAAGCTTAATCGGGGGGAATAGAGAGCTCAGGCAAACACAGCACAAAAGGCAAGGCGGTCTTGACTCAGTGGGAATTTCAGGATAAGCAGTAGATGATATTATGTGGGTCTACTGCATTTAGATAGGGACACTGAGCAATGACCTCAGTGAGAGAAAGGTGCCAAGACGCAGAGGGAGCCCTGTTCTTCTCCAGCATGGGGAGAGGAGAAGAAACAAGAAGTGCGGATTGCTGGTAGTTAACCAAGGGAGCAGCGCTCTCCGTTTCGTGCCCACCCTACCTCCTGGCATCTGTCCTGGCCCATGCCAGGGAGGCTCTCTCTGTACAGCATGTTCTGATCTTTTGGGATACAGAGCATCCCTCACCCCCTCACATATGCACGAAGCTGGCGCAAACACCAGCTTATTGGCTGAAATCCCCTGGCTCGGTCCCCAGTTCTGGGGGTGACAATGCAGGCATGGAAAGAGAGAAGCCAGGAGTTCCCATGCCCGGGGCAATCCTTGGATACGGCTTAGGGACAACAGGATTCTTGTGGTCTATAATGTAATGCTTTGTGCCAAGAAGTGTAGAAAACCGTAACATTTATCCCACCTTGGAGCCTGCCCCTTCTTAGAACATCTTTGGATTTAAGGAGTCCCAGACAAAGAGGATGGATGGATGGATTGCTATTTCCTCGCTACATCATTTCTGGGAATGGTATCACTATCTCTCTGGAAACCAACTGTTGACTTCTTTTTATGGCTCCTCCTCTCATGTCAATCAAACATTAAGGCATTGTGTCTCCTTCCCCTGGACCTCCATTCCCTTCAGACCCCCATGCTCCCTGCTTCCTCCCTCATTCTTTCTCCTCTCTTGTGTTTATCCTAATCTTTCCTCCACAGCCCACTCAGCATGCGTATACCATCATCAGCTGTTCACCATCTCCACTCCTTCCTTGACTCTTTCCCTGGGCCTGACAATGAACCACACTCCATTGTGTCTCCGCTAACTTTGGAATCTTGGGGTCTATCTCAAGGAAAATGAGAGAAAAGAGGAAGGACACGACAAGCAGATTTTGCTCAAGTTTTTTTTTTCCTTCTGGGGGCTTATAAATTATGAGTACAGTCTCTGAGAGGGGCTTAAAGTAAGTAACAGTGGCTGTGTGGCTCACAGAGGCTTGTCAAGTGTGAAGCATAGAGAGGCCCAAGGGTGCTGCCCCAAAGATGCATGGCAGCATGGGTTGAATGTGGATTGGAGCTGCAATGGAGTTGGGTTCTGTCTCCAGCTCCTCCCTGGGCACTAGAGTTGCTCTAAAGTCAGACTGACCAGCTAGCAGAATGGGTCAGCCTACAGCTACATCCATGTAGACATGGATGCGTTTATGATCCATGTAGTCGTAGTTGGGGTTCCTATTGCTGAGATAAAACACCACAACCAAAAAAAAAAGTGGGGAAGGAAAGGGTTCGTTTAGCTTACACTTCCAAATCATAGCCCCTCATTGAAGGAAGTCAGGACAGGAAGTAGAGGGGAAACCTGGAGCAAGAATAGAAGCAGAAGCCAATGAGGAGTGCTGCTTGCGGGGTTTACTGGCTTGCTCTTTCCTGGCTTGCTCAACCTGCTTTCCTACACCATCTAGTATGATAAACCCAAAGAGAGCACTGCTCCCAGTGAGACAGACCCTCCTACATCAATCACCAATCAAAAAAAAAAAAAAAAAGCACCCCACAGACTTGCCCACAGGCCATTTGGCAGAAGCACCTTCTGAATTTTAGTCTCTCTTTTCATGTGACTCTATCTTGTGTCAAGCTGAGAAAAGGCTAGCCAGGACAATGCTCTTTCATTGCACCTGGTTTAGTTTTTATCAGACAGACCAGTGATGTACCCGGAGGAAGTTGTTAAGTGTCCGAGTTGAATCCTCAGGGACTGATCAGTAGCCATGGTAGCCAGAGGAAGCTAAGACAGTCCCTTCCCTCAGAATTGTTGACAAAAGGAAAGAGAGCAGACACACACACACACACACATGCATGCACACACGCATGTACACACGCACATACTGAGTCTTAGCACTTCCTCCTGGGTCCTAGCACTGGAAAGCAGGAGGGGGGTCGTTAGTCAGGGATGGAGCATAACGTGGAGAGGAAATTTGGACACCCTGGCCTCAGCTACTTCCACCTTTATGTTCACTAACGCCATGCCCTTCCTTTGCAGAGAAGCCACGGATGAACAACATCCTGACGTCGGCCACCGAACCCTATGATCTCTCCTTCTCACGTTCTTTCCAGAATTTAGCCCACTTGCCTCCGTCATATGAATCTGCCGTGAAGACCAATCCGAGCAAGTACTCGTCTCTCAAAAGGCTAAGTAAGTCAAGGCTGGCTGGAGTTGAGGTCTGTCTCATAGGTCCCCAAATCATCCTCCTCTGTATCACTCTCTTGACCCATACCCAAGGGACCAGGTGTAGCATCCCAAGAAAAGGAATGGGTTGTACATCGGATGAAGAGAATAAACAGAACTCTTTCTTCTGGTCCCCTGGTCCTGAGTTCACCCTTGTCAAGGTTAAGAATGATGCTGTAGGACCCTGAGGTCCCCATCCTCTATAAGCTGTACTTACCACTCATGTACCAGCTTGCCACTAGCCTGTTTCAAACCATGGGCCTTCCTGTGAGTCATTCCTTGAAAAAGAGGTACCAAGGGCCCAAAGAACCATTCTAACCCAGCCAAGACCACCTCAAGGACCTGAGTCTCCACCCTTCTTAAGTTCATACTTCCATTTTGTAACTTAGGTTAGTTTCTCTTCGCCTCTGCTGTGTGAGTCTGAAATGGCTATTGGCATTGATAGGTTTAATGCATTCAAGTGTCAAGAAAGTACATTTAGGAACATTTTTCTTCCCTGACTTGATCCTTATAACTTCCTCTCATTACCCTATGAATGAGTCAATACCCCTGCTCATGTATGTGTGTGTGCACTGGTGTGTTTGTGTGTGTGTGTGTGTGTGTGCGTACATGTGTGTTTGTGTGTTGGGGATGCTACACAGAGCTCTGTATATGCTAGGCAAGCATTTGACCCCTGACCTACATTTCCAGTCCTATAAGTCATGTGCGATGGCTGCCCAACTTCAGTTAGTGTGTGGGCATGTACTTCAAGTTTCAGGGCGACTCATCGTGATAGAAGCTCAGCCCAAGTCCATCTCAGCCATCTACAGAGAAATGCTGAGTTTCTTTGACAACACTAGAGCATCTCTGACCATCTGAGAGGTCTGATGGATGCTCCGAAATGAAAGAATGAGGTTCAGTTGGCAGGACAGTCCCCACACCAACCCTGAGCCCACTGAGGGGCAAGCAACTAGGCAATGAGTCCCAACAGCTGTCTGGGAGGAGGCCTCCTTACCGAAATCTGGGACAATGCAGCCTTGCATGTGCCCTGGAAAAAGTCAAGGATCCATAGTGCAATTCTGGAAGAACACACTAGAAAGACAGGAGCTCCAAGTATCTAAGCAAGATGCACGTACAATGTTGCTCCAGCCTGCTGCCTGGTGGGCACAGGGAGTAAGTGTAGGCTGGTGATATGGCTGTGGGGGCTGGATGCCCATGTGTTGGTTTCCTGTACATTGGTTGTTACTCCAGAGAAGGTGTTACTAGGTTCCTAGGTTACCAGTGAAGCTTTCCGCAAATGCCTCCTAGACGCACATCCTATTTTATTCTAACAAAACCTGATTCCGTGCCCAGTTTTCATAAAGTAGTGCTGTAGATATCATCTGAAAGCCGTCAACTCTACCTGGGTGTTTTAGCAAAACCAGGAACCATTCTTCTTCAGAACCGCATGCAGCAGGTGCAGCAGGCAAGCCACAGGAATGCCTTGGGCTTGCCATCAGCTCCACTATGAGCTGGATGGGGAAGTCATTTAACTGTCCCCCCAAAGTGATTCCTGAAAAAGAAACAGAATCTGGGGGCCCACTGGAGATACAGACCCTGGGGTGCAAGTAGTTAGTGCCCCTGAATCAGAACCCACCCAAGGTTCACAAGCCCTTAAGGATTCCTTTGTGTGAGCAGTGGAGGAGGGAGTTAAGGTCACCTGTCTGAGCCCCGCCCCCACCCCTCACCTACTCTACTAACAAAAGGTTTTTGGTCCTGTTATCCTTGAAGATCTCCAAGTCTGTGGTTGAGGAAGAGGCGTGTGCAACCCCCCCCAGCCCCCCCCCCACACACCTATCTTACTCCCTGAAGCTGCCCCATCTCCCTACTTCCTTCTCTCTGTCTTCCTGTCTTCTTGCAGCTGACAAGGAAGCTGATGAGTATTACATGAGGCGGAGGCACCTTCCAGACCTCGCAGCCCGTGGCACCCTCCCCCTCAACGTCATCCAGATGTCTCAACAGAAGCCGCTGCCTCGAGAACGGCCACGCAGGCCCATCAGGGCCATGTCCCAGGACAGGGTCCTGTCCCCACAGCGGGGCTTGCCTGATGAATTTGGCATGCCCTATGATCGAATCTTGTCTGATGAACAGCTGCTCTCGACAGAGCGCCTGCACTCCCAGGACCCGTTGCTGTCCCCAGAGCGGACGGCCTTCCCAGAGCAATCGCTGTCGCGGGCCATCTCGCACACGGACGTCTTTGTGTCCACGCCAGTGCTGGACCGCTACCGTATGACCAAGATGCACTCCCATCCCAGTGCCTCCAATAACTCCTATGCCACCCTGGGCCAGAGCCAGACGGCAGCCAAGCGCCATGCCTTTGCCTCCCGCAGACACAACACAGTGGAGCAACTGCACTATATCCCGGGCCATCACACCTGCTACACAGCCAGCAAGACCGAAGTGACCGTGTGACCGGCAGCGTGGCCGGGCTGCTTGGCAGAGCGAGGGCAGGACAGAGCAGAGCAGGGCAGGGATGAGGAGCACAGAGTCCAGCCTTGCTCTCCTCCCTTCCCCTCCCCAGTTTCCCCTATTGGAACTGGAGGTGGGCTGCCTTTGTCCAGAAAGCCATACCCCTAGGGACATGGCGCCAAATGCCTGGTCCAACAAGCACAGACCCAGGCTACAGAGCTCTTTCTCTCCCAGTAGAATCCTCCCCCAAGCGAATGATAAGAGTGGTAAGGCTCCAGTCTTTCCTACCACCTGCGCCACTCCCTCCGTCCCCGCCCCCGCCCCACCCCTTCCAGGAGACTCAACCGAAGGTTCTCCCAGCCAGTGGACCCTCCCGGTGAAGGTAATCCGAAGCTGCCTGAGTTTGAACAGCCAGCCGGCCAGCCAGCGGGTGCAGTCAGTGGGCTGACCGAATAGACTACTCGGTCTCCTTCCTGTATCTAGAACCGCATCACAGAAATCTCTTAGTGCCTAAAAACTGCCTGCTCGCTCTCAGCCAGAGAGCTGCTGTGTCCATAAGCACAATATGATTCTCTTCTGCCTGCTGGAACTCTGGTCTCTACCGAGCGGCCCCTCCCTCGCTGAGCCCTGCAGCCCCCAAAACAGGAAGGGTCTTCTTCCTTTAGCTGCTTGGTTGCCCTTGCCTCTGTACTGTGGGGGCTGTGCTCTCCCAGCCTTCACTGTTTCTCCTCAAACCTCCCTGGGGCTTTAGCTCTTGCCCCCCAGAGAGGAGTAGCGTAGCGTTGGGTTGCCAGGACTTTAGAAGTGCCTTGGCAGCCATCTGATCGCCTCCCCACTTCCTCCAGGCCACTGGGTATGAACTAGGACCTTCTCTCAGGCCTGCCTTCTTCACCCGAGCTCTGCTCCCAGGAGGCCCCTGCAGTAGGCAGAGAGCTAGGGTGGGGAGGGCCACTGTGATGCCCAGGATCTCAGGGGCTCACCATTCCCATTTTCTAGGGCTCTGTCTGTCCCCCACCCATGAGCCTCAGGCAGGATGGAGGAAGAAGTTTCCAGACAGAAGAAGCTTAGCCCTTGAACGGGCAGGAGCTCTCTGACGTGGTCATGCCGGATCCTGTGCACGCCTTTCCACCATTTTCGCCCACTCCGCAGCCCTTTTCTGTTTAGAACTCATTCTCTCTTCCTGTGTTCCCTCTCCCACCTACCTCCCCACCTCACCCCCTGCAGCTCTGTTACTTTCCTCAAACCAGTGGATCCAAGGAATCCAATGGATCCAGTGGACCCATTGACAGATGCAAATGAATAATGGTGTCCCAGGATGTTCTGGGGCCACATCAACCCCTCCTCCTTGCAGGGGCACTTGGGCACATGGTAGGGGCATCTGGCAGCTCCACTGCCAGCCCACCTCAGCCCCCTCTTTGCCTCTAATCTGAAGGTGGACAATGTGTGACCAACTACTGGGAAACTATAAACGAGAGCAACCCCGCTTCCCCCCACACAAAGGGCCAGGGTATCTTTCTGGTCTGGGACTGGGGAGAATTGGCCCAAGACCCCTGGTGGAGTGACCTAAGAAATGGAACTATCACTTACCAGACTCCAACAACAATGTCCTAAAGTCAGATTTTATGTCCCCTCAGTTCTGCATGGATATTGCCCTTAAAAAGCAAGGTGGTAAGAAATTTGTATCTGTCCTGGTCATTTTTAATCTAGCCAAGTCTACTTCTTCTTCTTCATGAAGAAGTCTGTGCGCTGCTTCACCTTGCTGCTTTGAAGAGCCGTAAGCTCTTCTATACCCTTCCCCAGAATGTCCCTTCTGTGAGAGCAGGAGTGTTCTTCAGAGCCCAGAAGGATGGAAGCTGGAGTTTCCAAAGGCAGGTCTTAGCCTCCCCACTGCCTGGGTATCCCTGGGACCATGGGGCCAGGAGTTCTCTGGTCCCTGCTTTTCTTAAGGGCTGGTTCCCATGGGTCTATGAGCTTTGGTTGCAGAAGGTAAGGCTCACGGGAAGAGAAGAGCTCAATCCAAACAGAGAGTGGCTCCCTTCCAGAAGCAAAGGCATGTCCTACTGGCCCCAGCCCAGCCCCCTGTAACTCTCTGACCCTTAGCTAGCCCCTTTAAAGGTTGTGTGCTGCTGGGGAGGAGGAAGGTCAAGATTGTGGTAGGCGAGAATCCCCTCCCAGGTGTCTGGACATCCCCTGGAGAATCTTCCAGATGGCTATTTAATTCTCTACACCTTGGGGAACAAAATCTTACCCCAGGCTCTTTCCCCACCTTGGCGCTGGCAAAAGCGTCTGTCTGTCTGTCTATCTTCCTCTCTGTCTGTCTGTCTGTCTGTCTCAGGGGTTGTTTTATCAAACTTATTAGTTGATTTCAAATTATTTCTCTTCCCTGCCTTACCATCTTCTGGTATAAAATACCTGGCATCGGTTACGTCAGAATGCTTGCTTCTCCCGAAGGATTTTTCTTCAGCTTCATCCTCAAAAGGAGAGGCATAGTAACAGAGACAGAAGTCTACAGACTAGTCTGATCCAGTTCCCTACTCCAAACTCCGGAAAACTGTGTCTTAACTGCAACATGGAAATACACGACCCCTCCTCCAGTTTTGCATGACTCATTTAAATTACCTGTAGCCAACCATGATCCAGAAATATTAATATTTGTCTTAACTCTTTTGAGAGTCCACAATCACATAGCTTTTATTATGGTATATTCTTATAACTTGTCCTATTTTACTGTCAATCTCTTCTTGTGCCTAATTTACAAATTAAACCTTATTGTATGTGTATGTATATGAAGAAAACATAATACACATAGAGAGTCTTGTACTGTGTGGTTTCAGGCACCCATTGGGATTGTGGAGCTTATCCTTCAGTGACAAGGGAAGACCACTAGATCCCATCAACTCACCCATCACTCCAGAACCAGCTAGCTATTTGGCTATATGAACTCACTTGAGAGTGTCTGGGGCTGGAACCCAGATGTCACGGCTTCTAGCCCAAGCAGGCTGGTGTTCTCTGTCACACATAGAAGGGTCATGGCTCCCTCATGATAAACACTCATATCCCAAGCAAAGGAAACTCAAGATTTCCCTCTGTCTGTTTCGTTTCTTCGTGCATGTCTCCACGGCCCTGGACTAGGTGTGTCCAGGTCTTATTTGCCCCAAGTGTTCTTCCTGAAGGCTTTTTACCACCCCTATCCTTCCAGCATTCCTTTCTCACTTCTTCCAGTGAACTCATGACTCCGTCTGTTCGTGAGCCACAAAAGCTTGCCAATAATTCCTTAACCTCCTAACTGGACTTTGATCATCAGAGTTCCCCCAGTATCTTAGGCAATGTGTTTCCTTTAAGAAGCTCCAGTTCTTTCCCCAGCTAAAATCTCTCCCTTTCTTTCCACTTCCACTCTTAGCCTTCTGTACCAGTTTCCTCTGGCCTTCCCGCCGTTTCCCTCTCCATTCATCGACCTTCCTCCAGTCCCAGTTTCTTTCACCTGGACCTGCCGAAGTCTCTAGTTTTGAGAATTGGAGTTCTTGATGTAAAGTGTGGAGGATTCTGACATTCTCTGAGTCCTTCATTTGCCTTGTTGGCTTGTTACACTCCCTCACATGGGAAGTGATACCCCAGGTGTGAAGCCATGGGGCCCACCCCATCCCTCTGATCTCCGAAAGGGAAGGGAGAGAGCTGCCTGAGCAGAGGTACCATGGCCAAAAGATCAGCTTTGATTCCTGCAGCTACCAGATTCAAGAAGCTCTTGACTCAGACTGCTACTCGTCCAGAGTCTTCTGCGCTGGCCAAAGATCCATCCCCTTTGATGCCTGTAGCTCTTGCTTCTGTTCCAACACCCTTCTTCTAGTGAACATCACAGCTTTCCCTTCATCCAAAGACATGACTCGTAAGTCTCCAAGGATGGAGGAGCAGTCATCCCAACATCTCTGCCACCAAACTCAACCCATTGCCTTTGGAGAGCTCTTAGCTGTCACCTGCTTCATCTCTCGTTCCTTCCACAGATGTCTGTGGACTGGACCCGATATCATAGTTTGAAAGGGCTGCCCATGACTTGGGCCCTAGAAGGCGCCTACTCTGAGAGGAGCCGGCACTTTAGCTCCCACACACATCCCCCTGCCATCCTTTCTGAATCTGAGGAACTGTGAAATGTTTCCAGGAGGCTTGCTGTGCTTTAACGAAGTATTTTCAGGACATAGGAGTTATTTTTATAAGTGATGCATTTTGATGCTGGGTTTAACATGAAAGACAAATCTTTCTGATCCCTCTCTTTGATTTTGGAAAGTGGCATATGAGAAAGAGAGAGAGAGGAGAGAGGAGAGAGAGAGAGAGAGAGAGAGAGAGAGAGAGAGAGAGAGGGAGGGAGGAAGGAAGGATCGAGGCTCCAGAAACATGGCTTCTAGGTCTGGCTTTTGTCTTCATCTTGCCCTGTAACTAATGGGCAAGTCACATTCCAGTTCAGTGCCTCAGTTTACCCACCAATAAAATGAGGGGTTTTGACTAGATGAGCCCCCCAAAGTTTCATTCAGCTCTAGGGTTTTCATTCTCCACCCTTTCCCTTTTCTACATTCATCCCCACTTCAACTGAGCTGCACCCATCACACTCTGCCTGCCCTGTGGCAGCATCCTCAGAAGCCCTAGACGGCCACCAGACTCCTCGCCAGATGCTGGGTGGAAGGAACCAATGGGCTCGGCCACACATGGATACTCTTGTTTCTGAAAGTTAAGGCCTGACGACTCAACAGGTTGCTAACCGTATGTCTCAGAAGCCTCTCATATAAACATCCCTAAACCACCTGGGTGTCTGTTGCTGCGAAATTCTGAGTTTGGAGTTTTCATTTTTGATGTCCTTGTAGCTGGAGGGAGGTAACTCTACTTTCAGAGAGGGGACAGGCTGAAGAAAAGGGTCTAGATGTCTGATCTGGGCACAGAGTTCGTATTTAAGGTCAGATGAGATATTCGTTCCATGTCTCAAAGGAGCACACTTGGCAGAGGCTCTGTGTGACAAGGGGTGCCATTATATCCCATGCCACAGCATGCATCCTGAAGACCACGTCAGGATGCTGAAACTCCATCCCAACTGGAGAGGACGAGGCATCACCACCTGGGCTGCTGGGATACGGGTTCTCACCCCATCCCAGTATCTTTGTGGCCCCTCTTTGTGATACTGTCCTCCTCCCCATGAAGGCTTGTGAAGCACCAATGGAAATTCCAAGTCCCCGTCGTCTAACCCGTCTTGTAAATCGCAAACACATTAACCTTCCATCATTCAGAAAAATAATGCTGTGTGTTTGCTTGACAGCCTCCCTCATGTGGGAGGAGAAGACCCTGCTCAGCTCTGCTGCCAGCCCTCCGACGACCCTCAAATGCCACTCCATCAAGAGGACCCATTCATTTGCTTCGTAGTGGCCAAAGACATCTCTAGTCCTGTAAACTCAACTAGACATTTTGTAGTAAGGAATTCTTGAAGTTCTCTAATAAAAGGCAATTCTTACTGTAACATTTTTAGTTGGGGACACAATTTCCTAAGGGGGGGGTTAAGGCACATTTTTACTCGTTAGCTGGATTTATGGATTCTATGTTTATTATATGGAAGCATTATGAAAAGTACCTTTCTATCCGTACCTCTGCAGTTTCTCCATCACTCACATGGACCCTTCCCAACGAGCAGTGCCCCCATGACTGCTTCTGTACAAATCTCATCATTCTCCTTCGCTGTCAAAGCACACCCTCCATGTACTGTACACAGAGATTGCTTTAGTGAGATTTAGTCTTAAGGATTTTTTCCACTTTTGTCAGTAACCAATATTTATGGATCAAAAGAATAAAGGTGTTTCAACATAACCTGTGTGTCTTAAAGTAGCTGCATGCTTATAGAGTTAAAACCAAGGTCATACCAAAAAGCGAGGAAGGATACGGGAGATCACTGTGGTCAGGAGAAGGAGCAGGGATTGACCACAGACAGTTGCTAGGGAACTTTAGGTGTGATGGGATGTTCTCAAAGCAGATGTGGCCAAGCTCAGTGGCACACATCTGTAATCCCAGAATTCGGGAGAATGATGCAAGAGGATTATGTGTTTGATGCCAACCTGGCCTACATACCAAAATGTTGTCTAAAAAAACCCAATAAATCAAATCTATGTTTTGGTGGTGTCTGTGGAACTACGTAAGTTCATGGAAATCACCGAAGTGCAGATTTACAACTGTCCTATGGTATGGTATACAAAACAAGCTTTTTTATAAGATGGGAAAGAGGAACGCAGAGAGGTAAACCCAGGGCTCTGTGTCACCTGAAAGCAGAGCTGAATTTTCCAGTGCTGTCTAAACACATCTCCTCCAGCGCCATTATTATTAGATATCGGGTCTCAGTTTTATTTTCGCATTAGTTACCATGGCTGAACAGATTAAAGGTGGCTAAGGATCCATGACACTTAACCCAGAACATCAAAAACCTGCACCATGAAAACTGATTCAGATTTGCAGTTTTGTTCCAGGCTCTCTTTCTCTGGATGTGGCTTTGATATTATTTTCTTTGGCCTACGCTCACGTTGTTGCTACGGTTATTTGTTGATAACCAGAACGTAGAAACAGACTGAACAAATAAAATTCTGCCCGGGAGATCATTTATTCTATCCCATGAGGCAGTGTCTCTCTAGTTTCTGGAACCCAAGGTTCAGCATACTCTCTTCCCAACCCTCCAACGCTCCTGTAATCAAATCCTTATTGGAAGCACTGGGCTGATATTTTAAAATCCTCAACCAGACCTCGTGGTACAGGTCAACAAATCTCAAGTACTCAGAAAGCTGGATCAAGAGGATCAGAAGTGAGTTCAAGGCCAGCCTGAGCTACCTGAGGCATTCCAACCTAAGTCATCTCAATAGTGAGTACGAATCAATTAACTAATTGATTACTTAATTGGCTAAGACCATACCTCACTGATAATAGGGCATTTAGTTATCATGCACGGTGCCCATAGTGTCAACCCGCAATCCTGCAAGGAGGTCCTTGTATTCTCTACTTCCAAGGGGTTTTGTTCTCCTAAAGTCAGCACAGCATTGGTAACTTTCCCTACACATGACAACACATACTCCAGAATACGTTCACACATCATGGCGCTCACCACTGAGCTCATCACTGTCATTTCTTCCTTTCTAAGCCAGTCTCTCCAGTGCAGGCCTACTCATAGCAAGTACACACATGCCCCGGCATATCACACATATAGAAATACTTGGAGTCTTTGTTCATCATTGAGGAAAAAATGATGAAGACAAATTTCCTGATTGGAGGATTTTTTTTAAAAAAAATAAAATTTAACCTTAATGCTTACAAATAATGGCTGAGTTATACTAATAGATAGTCCTCGAAAGAAACTCTCAGGAGACCTCCCTTATCGAACAAACAAAAACAATATGGAATACAATTAAAAACAAATAAAATTTAACCTTAATGCTTACAAATAATGGCTGAGTTATACTAATAGATAGTCCTCGAAAGAAACTCTCAGGAGACCTCCCTTATCAAACAAACAAAAACAATATGGAATACAATTAAAAACACAGTCAAAGACTGACCTCCCTTCCTTCCTTCCATCCATCCATCCTTCCTTCCTTCCTTCCATCCATCCATCCATCCTTCCTTCCTTTCTGCCTCCATTCTTTCCTTCCTTTCATTACAGTGTTATGCTGTGGCCCAAGGAAGACAAGCATGGAACTCACCAGTAGCCCACTGACTGAACTTGGAATCTTCCTGTCTAGACTTCCTGAGTGCTAGGATTACATCCCTGAGCCTCTTTAGAGCTCAGTTCTCTTATTTAAACCAAAACCAGAAACTCTATAAGCCAATCGCTCTAAAATGCCTTTTATCACATTCCTCTCTATTTCTATAGCTTGGCTAAAACTTTTTAGGAAATGGTAATTAGTGGAGGGGAGAGTGGAAGGGTAGTGAAAAACGAGAGAGAGAGAGAGAGAGACAGAGAGAGACAGAGAGAGACAGAGAGAGAGAGAGAGAGAGAGCTCATAATGCTAACTAGACAGTATCTTCATCTTGTCAGCATATCTGCCCCTTATATCAAAATGATGGCAGCCAAGGACGGTGATATTGAATAAGATTTTAAGGGGGAAAAATCTCTTTCATTTGACTTAAATTTTATGTCATTGTCATTGGCAGTACTGAACACTGAACTAAGGTTCATTCTAATGATAAGCCAGTAGTGTCACACCATGTCATAGCCCCCACACCTTTTTTATTTTAATTTTGAGAAAGGATCTCACTAAGCTGC